CTGAAGTATTAAAACACTGCACTATTTATTTCGCGATCTTGCCATTATTTCTTTCTTTATAAACGTTATCTTTTTGTGTACTATATGTACCGTTATGCTACACCAATGTATCCTGAAGTAGCAATATATGTCATAGTAAATTACATCAGATGTTAAGATATTTAATGTTACCCTGTCGGAGCTGTTTAATTTAATTTAATCAGCACTAACCATTGTTAGGAAGGATTATACAAAGTTCTGTGTTCATTGATGTGACGTGATAATACATTAAGCAAGCAGCTAGTTTTTATGTATTTTGTAAGTAAGCTATTTCAACTCTTTCTTTAATGTTAGTTTCATTAACAATATAGATTAAAATGTTTAATGTAAATAATACTTGTATTTTTATTCATTTATAGCTGTTTATTTTATGGTGCTGATTATTATAATTATTTTGCATTGTTAGATTAATATTTGGATTTAGAACTAATCTAAACCTCCTAATGTGGCTGAATTTCGTATTATAGCCGAAAGTATTGTTAACAAAGAATCATTGCGTTTTAATTGTTATAACTTTATGTTATATGCTTTGCATATATCTAGTAAAAACAGTATATCAACTCTGCTGTATTTATTAGTGGGTTGATTTTCATTTCTAATCTATATAGGTAGCGTTCTTTCATCGGAAGCTAATGAGAATTGCTGAATATGCCCAACTTTGATATTCAGTTCTTATTCACAAACATACTGCTTAATTATTAGACAGTTACTCCCAACCAGAAATACCCTATACTCTATCTTTAACCAATAAAAATTCGAGCAGCTTCTTAAATTAGTCCCTTTTATGACCAGATAGGGTCACCTCCAAGTCCAGCTCTTGCAAATATTTTTCACTGTTATTACGAACGTCATTGGTTGTATAGTTGCCCCTTTATTAGAGACCAGTATTATATAGAAGATAGGTTGATGATGCTTTTCTACTCTTTCACAACACTGGTCACTCCAGGACGTTTTTAGAATACCTAAACTAATAACATCCAAGTATAAACTTGCGTGTGAAATGTTTGAATGAAATGTTAAATGAAATATTGTGACCAGTGGTTTCAGAATGTGAACGAATGGATGAATGGCTGGGTTTAAGTAGTGGATGGTTAGTTCTGTTAGATACTCGTAAATGTTCACAGACTCGAGTTTTTAATTAACATTGTCGTTAATTTAATTAATTCCATTTTAGTATTTATTTATTGGATTATTATCATTATTATTATGTTAAAGATGCAGATTTATCCATATATTTAAGCCTCTCTTTATAGAGTTTTCTCTTGATAATGTCATTAGTAGTTGTAGTTGCGTATGGTGTTTCTCACACCTCCAAATTCGTAGTCATGATCCAGTCAATGAATGCCTCGCCCGCTTCATGGATTGTACCATATCCCCCCGGTACCGCAGTGCAACACGAGATGGTCTGTGTCTTGTGGGGATACCTGACATGCTGGGCATATAGGGGATTCACGATAACCCCATCGATGCAGGTTGGCTGCTGTTTTGCCATGGCCTGACCTCAGCCTGTTTGCCTGTGTCCATTGCTTTCTGGTTAGGTGATAGAAACCGGGCAGTGGCTCAATGGGGTTACCCACCAGGTCTCCACCTCCATTACAACAATCCATTCATGCTGGGCAGGAAGAAGGAAAGGGGGAAACTAAGAGTGATCTAAACCCGGTGTCCGGACTAGGACGCCAGTCCTACTCCCGGATAAACACCTCCAAAATAAAAAATAAAGAATAATGTTATTAAACATGTCTATGCCGCACGTTTTATCGTACATTACGTTATATTGTTATCGTTTAAATCTGTTCTTTCTAAATTTTCGATTGAATTCAAAATCTACTCGCTAGATAGCTAATGTTGGTTATTGTAGTTAGAATATTGCGAATAATATTTTAAAGACTCTAAT